GCAGAGGTCGTTGCAAAAAGAGGCGATGTCATACTCCAATCGGGCCAAGACGGAGTCGGAGAAGGAGTTCGCAAAATCCTCGTCTCGTCCGTAGTTCTCGGCCTTGCTTCACCAGTCTTTGCGGCTATGTTCGATGGCCGCTTCTCCGAGGGCCAGAATCTTTCGCCGGCTTCACCACGCACTGTCCCGCTTCCAGATGACGATCCTGAGTCCATCACCATGATCTGCAAGATCGCACACATGCAGACTTCGGAACTTCCCCTCAAGCTCGCCGCCACCGTCTTGTCCAAAATTGCGCTTTTGTGTAACAAATACGATTGCGCGAATGTGGTTCGTTCATGGGCTATCATCTGGATTGGCGCCCTTCTCGAAGACTTCGAAGCTGCAGATTTCGAAAAGATGCTTCTTGCCACACATCTCCTCGAGTTGCCGAGAGAGTTCTTCAGAGTCTCTCAGAGATTGGTCCGCGACCCTACCGCGATCCTCAGCGTCACAAAAGCCACAGATGGTCACGAGTTCCTACCTTTGGAGGTGTTCGAATACCTACTACTTCGTCAAATTTCATATCAGAGGCGAATCACCACGGCATTCGCTTCGATCGTTACGGGACTCGAGTTTTGTGCTGCTTCAAAGCAGGCCTTGAGTACTTTTATCTTCGGTCTCAGGCGGAATGATCTTTGGCCCGTCAATCAGTGCTCGGTCTTGATCATCAAGTCCAAGCTTAGAACCGTACCTGAGCTACCTCCTCTTTTTGCGAGTTGCACAACCCCGAACTGTGCTTGCAAGTCTCTTGCTCGATACACTAAGGCTACGCTCATAGCCGAGCTCGACAAGATTTATGATGCGGTGGATGGTCTTTGCTTAGACTGCGTTCGTCAAAAGGTACTCGGAGAGCAAAAGCGGGAGTGTCGCGTGCCCCATGCAATGAGAGAAGCAACAGTCTACCCTTGATCGCCTTACAGATTTTACATCAAGGCACGCATACTCTTACCATAAAGTCTGGAAACAGTATGGCGTTCTCCAAAGTACTCTACATCTTTTCTCTCGCAAGAGTTCGAGACGCAGGATCCCATGGAGCCCTATTTTTCACCAAGATTAGGCCCGAAGATAGAAGCTCTATCGAGCCGGTTCTAGCTAGGCTTATCCTCCTTGTAGCTCTGCGTGGACATTAGATTCTTCCCAGGTAGAGTGCAATAAGCTTTCCAAATGAACAAGACTTTCTCAATGTGACACTATTCGAATTCTTTATCCAAAGTCACACAGTTTTCTAAGGAGCTCTGCGGCGCACCTCGCGAATGTCCGCACTCATCAAACTCGGTACATCTCCCAACGCCATGCCGCAAGGTTCTTTGGCTCTAAACACCACCCCATTCAAGGGAAAAAACGAACACCCTGGGGCCTACATCAAGATAAAAACGTGCAAAGCAGGTGGCCTGACAGCGACGTAGGCTCCAGGGTTTTTAGTGTTTCCCTAGTATGATGTGACACTTACATCTTAGCCTTCGGCTCGAGAGCAACCTTATTGCGTGTCCCTATAGCTAAAGAGCTCGTTACTGTTGCCGCCCACGTACGATATTCTACCCACCACACTTAATCCTTATCTCACATGCAGTGCCCTAATTTTACCTATATCAATGACGTACAGATTCGTACACCTCTCTATCACTAAGCGGAAGGCGCAGTGATGGTGATGCATTGTTGAAAAGGACACCGACATGGTACCATGTTCATTAGGTGACGGATTGGCTGGCAAAACGGCTGTAGTCCTACATGATATGGCTGACATGGTGGCGCCCTGGAACGAAAAGATGTTCTTGTTGATAAGAATTTAGGCGCCAAACGCATCATATGCGCTGCTTTTAAGACCCGTCCGCCAGTATCGTGAACTCGTAGTTTAGCCTAGTTAGTCGCCAAGATCCAGATGCAGTCGGTAGAACTAGCTTTGATCATCCCAGGAGAAGGCGCTATTCCGGACTTCGTGAGTGATGCGTAATGCTGCCGAAGGCGCTAAGCTGGGTTCAGCAGAGATGATGCGCGAGCTTGTGGGTATCTTGCGGGAGATCGACAGGAGTGGCCAGCATTCGCCATTATGATCCCGGACTTCGGTGTCGTGATGTAGGGAAGAACTGGTTCGGGTTTTGAGGGTCTTCGGAGGGGTCCAACTGGGCCGCTCGCGGGGTCGGGATCGCCGTTGTCTGATTTTCTCTTGTCCAGCTGTTGCCAATTTTTGTATGAGATGCGGTCGAACGCGATTCGTACTCATCTTCAAACCATGAAGTGGCATCGGTCATAGATGATGGAACGGGTAGGACACGAACTTCAGCTGTTCGCCATACCTCGCTTGCGCGCGACATCCAAGTCCGAGCTCGACTGGCGCCTCGGCAACTCTCGCCGCTTCCCAAATGTCCCTCCGCTGACATCTCCGTCCGCTCTCCAACAGCCTGCGCTTACAGATCTCTGACATATCTGCTTTGGCATTTCTGGCTAAACGAAACAAGCTCCAAGTCCGCCGACGCCTGATCCTTCGATCCCTCATCTCTCTGCCTGCCAACGATTCGCCATGTTCCTTGTGATTGGGCAGTGACTGACGCTGATAGCTCTCTCGATTGTCCTGAGCTAATCCTCACTCTGTCTCCGCTCTCTCCTTTGCCTCCTTTGCCAGCTTCTTCTTCAGACGAGACTTCCTTTGAGCTGCCTTACCCTTTGGTGTCTGATTATACGCCTTGTTCTCAGCAGCCTTCTTCGCTTTGCCTTCTGGGGTATTCCGCTGCTTCTTATTATACGCCCTCATCGCCTCATTCTGTTTCGCTGCAACTCTAGGATCCTTTCTCCGTTCTTTCCGGGCCTCATTCCTCCTTACCCTCGCTTCTGGGGATATTACGTAGCGGTCTCGCTGTTCTTTTGCCTTCTTCTCTAAAGCTTCTACCTCCGCTCTTAGCTCCTCTTTACTTAAATCAAAGAAACCCTTAAGTTTATAGATTTCTTGTAGGCTACTTCTGCTGCACAGCCCTTAGTAGTCAAGAGTAGCTAGATTCTAGAAGCTCTTCTCTAAACTCTTTATATAGTTATAGTTATATATTATAAAGACATAGCTAAAAGTAGCTTCTAATGTAAGAAATAGTATCTAAAGCTAAAAATGTTAGACTAGTTTAACTAGAGAAGCCTATACAATTATTAATTAGTGTGCAATCTACTAGCTAAAGTGTATAGTACCTACTATACTATCTAAGTAGCCTTTATTGCAATTATAATTACTAAATCTTATATAGATGCCTTTTCTTTTCTTAGTTCTACTACTAAGATATAGTTAGTAATTATATATCTAGTTGCTAGTAAATGTATTACTTATCTACTTTTTTAGCACTAGCACGTAAAGACTATATCTATTCTTAAGAGAAAGAGATCTGCTAAGGAAGTGCTGTATAGAAAAGGGTTCTCTAGTTACTAGAAGCTCTAGAAGGTTAGGAAGAAAAGTAATCTAGAATTTAGAATTAGTAAATAGAAATAGATAAGAATAAATAAGTAAGAAGCTAGAGAGCTTACCTGTGCTTTGCGAAGGTACTAGAGAACGTCCTTAACATCCTAAAAAATGTTTTTAACGAAGACAGGACATGTAGCGTTAGTGTCGAGTTGAAGTAGAACCGCGGAGGCGAGGGCAAGAAGTGTGTCGCTATGCTCATCTGAGGGCTGGAGAGTCGCTGCGGATTCAGTTGGTAGCTCTCGCATAGTGGCCAGGTCCATCCTGAAGATCCAGGATAGCGAGTGTGCAGAGGAGAGTGGTGGCAGGCATCGAGATTTGATGACGACACCTTCGTCATCGTTGTTGTGGAAGGTGCTCTTCTCGGAAGTGAGGTCGTTGTTGAGGAAGGCACGATGTGTGGCGGTGACACCTCATACAAGGAAAGAGCTGAACACCCACCCCCATGAACGACTTGCGAGCCGCAAGTGATGCCTCAGTCGCTACACAGCTAGAGGTATAGTGACGTGAAGACGATCGCAAGGGGTGCACCAGCCTTACGACCGCGCGCTCCCTCCTCCAAGTCATGTGCGCGCTGTCTCTCTTCTTCAGATCAAGGCCTCGCGCTCACTTTTGGCTACTGCGTCTTCTATGTTCAGCGGTGTTAATGACTTGGAAATACTCAACTTACGCCGCCTTTTGCCATTCTCACCATCTCCGGTCCAGAGACTGATGAATCAGCGGTCTCGTCATCTGGATGTAACCATGTTGCTTCTTCCTCGATCGATGGCGTACAGCAATCGTATCAATGAAAAAAAGGTGTTCTGCGTTTCCCTCCCGGTTATGTTGAATGCCGGACGTTGGGGTAAGGGTAGAACGGGCGCTGGTTTTCGACCGTCCTCAAAGGCACCAGCGAGCCTCCAAGTAGACCTCTAGAGATCTCCGTATCGTCTCCGTCGCTCACCATCGTTCGTAGATCAACTCGCACTGGCGAAACTGTTGAAAGCTTCTGTGGCTTGGCCTGGGGTCCCCTCCACACAAGTTGAGCCTTTTGGTGGCTATTATGCCGACTCGACGCTTCCACCCGGTGAGCGAAGTGATGTGGCTGGAGGGTATCTCCAGGCGGCTATTGCACGTTTAGTAGGACAGATGGGGTGGTGGATCACTTACGATGTAGCGCGATCGGGTGGCGCGGTTGAGTAGAGGGGGAGTAGAGGGATGAGTAGAGGGATGAGTAGAGGGATGAGAAGAGGGGTGAGTAGAGGGTTGAGGAGTGCGGTTGATCTTGGGAACGCGAAGCGGTAGAAAGTAAAGAGAGGAAATGGGTGAGACAAGCGGTATTTGTAGCGGGTGTGTGGGCGACTGTGCGCGTTAGCGCGCCTTGAGTGGGTGACGCAATATTGCAAACGGTCGCGGTGTTGACACCGTCTTAGATCTCTCTCTCACTTGATCTCTCTTACCTCCCCCTCACCTTCCTCTCACCTCCCGACTTCTTGGATCAATTTGGCGACTGTCGCTCGGGTCGACAGAGATCACTGGCAAGATGACATCGAATGACGATCTCGCTCCATTGGAGCCCCTTCACACGTCCATTGGACTTGGAGAAGAGAAACCCGCATCCGGAGGAGTCAAGCGCGACAGCGCAGAGCCCGACACTACAGCGAACAAGGACATAGCGAGTCCGGGTCAAGTTCCGTCAAAGCGTCCTCGCTCCCGCTCTTCATCGCAGTCAGAGGATGCGGTATCAAAGAAACCGAAACTGAACGATCCCGCGCCTATTACTACACCCATCCCCGCACTTGTTCCTACACCCATCCCCGCGCCTGTAGCTATACCAGCCCCTGCAACGTCGGCCAATGGGCGTCAAGGCCTACTCAAGCTCCCCGTAGAGTTACTAGACAATGTTATGGAGCATGTAAGTAAAGAACTTGAGTTTCCAGATGCTTGAGCGAAACGCAGAGGAGCACTGCTAACTGATACAGCTATACCATGAAAAGAAGGGTAGACAATTCCTGTACGACGTCACTCAGGTCTGCAAATATCTTCAAGCTCCCGCTGCTCGCCCTCTCTACCAACATGTCGCCATCAACATCGACCAAAGCCCGTGTCAGGACGCTAGCTTCATGGCGGATACCTATCTGCCATGTACCCTGGACCAGATGAAACTTCACCAGACGCGAACACTGACGCTCTCTGCTTCGAACGATGAGGAAGTCGGATATATTCTGGCTGAGTTTCTCATGGAGCTCCGTGACGTACCGCTGAAGGAGCTTCGGCTTACTGACGTCTCCCTCTCTCGCAAGGTCGATACCTATCTCCAGATGCTATTCGATGCCGACTCGATGCCACTGAAGGAAAACCTCAAAGAGCTGTATCTTCCATGGGCTTGTGACTCTATCCCGCAGCCACACCGTATGATGGACTCTTCAGTCAACTACACGTTCCAGCCTACCCGAAGAGAAAGCAAAGACGCACTCCTGGTGCACGGTGGCGGTTACAAGGCTATGTCACACCGCAATTCAGAGACAGGCACGTCGGTGAACATGTTCCGTAGAGTTCTCGGCGCCTTTGGGTTCCCGACCGCACAAGGTTTCGAATCAGTATCATGGTCGATGCGATGGCCCGAGCATGACTGTGCAAACATCTTCGACATGGCTCCTGCGCCACCCCCCACCATCCGCTGCTTCAACATCACGCATCTGAGCCTCGGTCACTTCGACTTTGGCCACGGTTTTCCCCAGGATACCTACACATGCATCAACTTCTCCAGCATACGCCGGCTCGAACTGGATGACTGCCAGCTGCTACCCCGCTTCCTCAGACACTTCATGGCTACTGGCGTCAGTCTTCAGAAGCTGGACGTGCAAAACTGGGACTACGCTGAAGAGCTTTGGGAGGAGAATCCTCACGGTCTTGAGGCGTTTCTCGCTTCATTCTCGACCCTGAAAGACCTCAAAGTCGTCTCGCTCAACCCTTGGCAGCCGGACTTGGCTCGGATGATCTCCAGCCATTCCGACCTGGAGTCATGTGATCTGAGCTTTGGGGCGAACTCTCTCAACGTAGGTATGCTGAAGAAAATCTTGGCTATCCGTCCCAACCTCAAGCGGCTGGGATTTCGACACTTAATGTTTGGACTACCATGGAAGCACGACGGCTTCGCTGGGAAGATACATGGCGTTACCGGAGCGCAGATCACCGGCTTCGACAACCGTTTTGCCGCCTACGCCGAGGTTTTGGCAAACTTCTCTGAGCTGGAAACGGTCGTTGCGTACTTCGAGCCGTTTGAGAGCGATGGTGGCTCTTCCAAGGAAGGCCCAGGAGGCGACAATCCTCCTGACGACCCCATGTATCAACGTCTCTCGGATCGTATTCTGCAAGAGATCCGCAGGGTAGCCAGTAAGAACGGTTTGGGAGAGTCGAAGGTTGCAACCATGGTCCTGCACGACAAGGCTCTCCCAGGTGAGGATCTCCTCGGTGAAGAGGATGTAGTTGATCAGAACTACTATGAGAGGGAATACAAGTACAAGAGCGGTACTAGTAGCAAGATGAGCTTCCTTGCATAGATAGGATGGTAGCCACGGACACGTCTTGAATAGTTTCAGATAGTAGTCTCTACTTGATCAATACAACTTCAAAATTTCCTTCCATTCTAGTTGCCAGCAGCCAACCTCCAGCAGATATTGATCAAAGCCGCCGTGGCAGTGACATGCGCAGCAGTCCTCGGCAAAGCCACGTTGCTCAGGTAAGACGGGTAATGCACAAGCAACTTGGCGATAACATGGTAGCCCAGCAGGTTCACGATCTGTGCATCTCGAGGCGCAAGGACCTGCGCCAGCGCGGCAGCAAGGGCGAAGCCTGCGATCACGTCCACGTTAGCGACATTCATTACTGATGAAGAGCGGTCCAGTATGTATCAGCTTACCCGGGAAGTTCTCCATAAGCGCATAATGCGCACTCCTAAGCCTCAGTGGCAGTCCATCGAGCTTGTGAATATGCTTCCTCGAATGTTCCAGATCAAGACCTTCTTCTCGGCCCATGGCTTGCCCTGCTGCGGACAGCGCGCCCGATGCGCCGAAGGTCCAGAATATGTATAGAGCCGAGAGGGCGGGAATTGCGCGTCCGGAAGTTATCGCCGTTGTCTGAAGATTGTCATTAGTGTGATATCAGTGTTGAAGAGGAACGAACGTACTGTGACACCGGGGATCAACTTGATGAGCGCGTGAACCAGCGACTGAGTGACGCTGTTCGGCTTTGTGAGGAAGGAGCTATTCGACCCATTCAGTTCCAGTCCGGTTTAACGAACGGCTTCGAGAGCCAGAGAAGACGTACGTAAGAGGTATGGCAGCGAGATACATGGGCGCAAAAGCCGCAATCATCGCACCCGAAGGATTCGCACTATCCATCCATTAGCCATCGTTGCATTCGTCCTTCACAGCAACAGCAACTCACATGCCATTCTCAGCAGCCACCCGCTCAGCCTGATCCTTCTTCTCCGCCGCAACACGCTTCACCTGTTCTTTCTTCTCGTCGGCCATATTCTCGGGTTTATGTTCGTACATGAAATTCCGCAAGTACTTATCGCTCGGGAGTGGTAGACAATATGCAAGCACGCACGTCAGCAGAAAGTCCCAGACCCACCTTGACTATATAGGCCTGCCAGGCTGCCAAACAATGGCCATTGTCGTTTCTAGACTGCGGCCTATCGATGACGTGGGGCGCACGCAAGCAGGGGGAGGGAAAGAGGTGGTGGAGCGGAACTATATCCCTGGGTTGCGATTGGCTGGCGTGACTGCCACAACCGGATGACCCGCATGTCCGTGGTTCGGAAATGGGAGTAGCCGCCGTGGTTCTGCGGGGTCAATCGGGCGTTCGTGCAGGGTATTTGGAAGCATTAAAGTTGATAGGCGCTGTGTGATGTGAGGTTTGCTGCTTTCGTTATCCAGATGCAGTATCTAGACAGGTTATGTGAATGGAATATATTTGCTGTATGACCCTATCGCTTACCCTCCTCGACTTCACATGTGACAACACTTTCGGGAACCAATACAACAAAAAAGCAAACTCCACAAAGTTACACACGAGATCTAGACCACGTACAACAATCAAACACACGCAAAAGCAAACACGCCCGCGGACCATCTACACCCCATATCCCACAGCCAACCTGACATCCTCCCTCTCCGCCCTCAACTCCCCTCCATCATCATACTCCCCGTTCCGCCGATGCTTCACGACCATCTTCCTCGCTCTCACAACAAGATGTTCAACCACCGCATCCTCCAACTCCTCCTCAAAAGGATTGACATCACGGACCAGCATGATGAGTTGTGCGCGGGTTATGCTACGTGAGCGCGAAGCGTCGTTTGGGGTTAGCGACCAGCTTTCTGTTACGAGATCCCAGGTTCCGGCCCAGAGGTCGGTGACTAGGGTGTCGATTGCGAGGGTTGGGTTGAGCGTGGGTGTGGATGGGGCGGAAAAGGTGTGTGAGGTGGCTGATGAAGATGGGGACGGAGACGGAGAAGGGGAGCGGCGACGGCGGTGGAAAGAGCGAGGTGGTGCTGTGACGGAGACAACGGCAGAAAAGGCTGAGGAGGATGCTCGTGATATTGGGCGCGAAGACGAAGGCGTTCTACGGCGACGAGGGCGATGCCCCTTTTCCTGTCTTGTTCGCTGTCGTCCGCGTGCATTGTCGCCTTGAGTCTCGCCTTCTTCGCTGTCCTCATCGTCATCCTCTTCCTCCCCATCTCCATCGCTATCCTCATCATCATCAACCCCCCTGTTAAACAGCAGAGCTCTACAACTCGGACAAGTACCGCATGCCGCACTCCCAGATCTCAGCCACTGCAGCAGACACGTCTCGCCAAACACACACTGACATTCCGGATGTGCAGTGATTTGAACGACTTGGTGGTGGCCGGTGCAGCGCTGGCGACAGATGGAGCAGAGGACTTCTTGCAGGGTGGTAGGAGTGTGGATGTGGTGTCTTATGAAGAGGGCGCGGGAGGTTGAGTCGGGGTGGTAAGGCATGTTGTGTGGGTGGTGTTTGTTTGGTTGGATGAGGGATTGGGTATCTTGATTTATGGTTTCGGTGTCTTGTTGCAGTGTGTACCTTTGCATGTGAGCCTGTGGTAAGCTAGATATATCGCTCTTGGTCGTAGTCGGTCTGAGACTTTTGATGTGTAGAGACATGTATCCGAGCATGTCTTACCATGTCTTGCATGATGACAAGCGACTACAGCAGAGTAATGATCTAGAGCACCAAGACATGTGCACATACCAGACGAGTGTCTTACAAGCTATCACCTTCAGTCCCAGAAGACATTTTTCCCAGATGCGAGTAGCACACTTCCAAGTCTTGACACCCCAACACCGGCCTGTTCAAGAATAGATATTATGCCATTGTATGCTATTAAGTCGTAATTTCGTCGCTTTCATGCATAGACAATACCTATACAAAATGCTCCAGAACATTAATGGGGAAAAGACCAAAATCTCTGACCAAGACAGATACAAGAAGTATAGCAACTCCAGTCCCGCACACAGTGCGAGTAGTCGAGAGGGACGCTGATGATGTAAACGGAAAATGACAAAAAGAGAAAGGAAAAGGACCTAAAAAGAAGAAAGGGAGGAGGGACAAGATACCCAGCAAACGCCTTCTCGCACACTCCATGTGCTATGCAAGATATTCCCAGGCTGATGATGCGACAACGCCCAATGGTCTCTCCGGGTAAAGCAAGCTTTTCAACATCTCCTAAACATATCATCAATCTTCTAGTCAAAAGATCTCATGGCCCAACCCCCCAAACCCATCATCCCCAACCTTGACCTTCTTGCCCTTGCCCTCCATCTCACGCGGTATACTAGGCACGTCAGGAACGTCCCTACCATCAGGCACAACACGCACAGGCTCTTCGCTCTTGAGATTACTCCTCGAGAATCTCTTGGTGAGCCTCGAACTAGATCGTCGGGGGCTCTTCTTGTTGGCGGTGCTCTTGACGCGCTTTATACTGCGCTCGGTGCGCTCCGACACTTCGGCTTCAGAGGCGGATGCAGCGGAGAGCATGTCGATGTCGCCTTCGGAGTCGGTGGGTATGGGCTTGTACTCGCCGTCCGAGTCGTGGATGGTGGCTTTGCGCTTCTTTACGATCTTGCCGATGCTGGCGGGTGGCTCAACTTCGACAGGGGTTGTGTTTCGTGATGGGTCTTCGTTTTCGCTCGGGGTGACGTCGGGGGTGGGTGGTGCGAAGTCGGGGATGCGTGGGACGGGCGGTATGTCGTTGTAGAGGACGGTCTGGAGCTCCTTCTTCGCAGAGGCGAGCTTGTATTCGAGGTCAGAGACGCGCTTCGTAAGCTTCTTCTGCTTGTGCAGGTCTTTCTTGCTGGGGGTGTGGCGGAGGGTTGGTGTTCGCGGTGTGCGGATTGGGGTCGCTGCCTCTGCCATGGCTGCGGTCAGGCCAAGCTGCATCTTCTCAGCGGCAACAGGCTGGGATGGGGTACCAAACTGCCGCGACCTCATAGCGGGTCGTACAAAGACCTTTGGTTGAGGAAGAAGACCCAGGTCCTTCGCTTCGTGATAGGCGATTTCGGCATCCCTCTTGCGCTGGTCGAGTAGTTGCTGGTGCTGGTCCTTCTCCCGCTCCGCGTCTGCGTTCCCAGCTTTGCGCTTGCCCAGAACACTGCCGAACATGGAAGCGAACGCGCGCTGGAGGCGGGCATAAGTCGTCTCTGTCGGCGCGGTTGCCGATGCCTGGACGCTTGTGCTAAAGCTGGATTCCGTAGGGGTCCCGCTACCAGAAGCAGCCCTCGAAGAAGCCGACTTGACCAGGCGGGGCATGCGGTTCGCAGAGCTCTTTCTCGACGTCGGCGGCTTCGCGTTCTCCTCGTTGAACTGCTCGATCAGCTCTTCGATGCCAATGTCTTTCCATAGCTCGTCTGGCGGCGGTCGTATGCTGCCGTTGGTGTTTGTGTGTTCCTTGAAGCGCGACGCGCGCGGCTGTGTCGACTCATCGGCGGCGTCGTCGCTCATGGCCAGAGCCGTTGCGCGTGTAATGGGCATCCGTCTGGGGTGCTCGCGGCGCTAAGATACAGTGAGGTGGTGGAGATAAGGGAGCGCGCCTCGAGGAAGCGGCGAGGCGGCAATAAGGCGGAGAAGGGTCGAGGGTGTATAGCGGAGGAGCGCGAGTGTTTGTTTTGTGCAGAAATTAGTCGAGAAGTTGCATCGCTGGTTGCAGCGTCGGACACGACAATCACTGGCTGCGGCTTCCGAGGTGAGGAGGACCCTGTCAATGCGTGACTTGGCACCCACTCATTGCTCGCTATCCTCCACTACGGCCCGTGACACGTTGTCTACTGTCGTTCACCGCTTGCAATTTTTACCCCTTCACCAGCACATCAGCCGGGAAATCTCCACAGCGGTCGGATGAACATGTTCAGTTTGTAGTATTACCGCTACTGTACACTCAATCGACCGATCTATATGCAGTTCCATGGTACCATGACTCGCACAGGGTGCCTGAGTACCCGCGCGCTAGGAAAGCAACCATGCAATCACTGTCTAGGTATCCTCGTACGGCCGCCAGACGCCAAACATGCAGTTCCACTCTCTACAACTTCGCCTTGGCCTTCGACTCCTCGGCCAGTGCCTCTTCGTAGCAGTCGTCCAGCTCCTTCCTGAAAGCCTTGACGGTTTGCGGGCGCTTCAACTTCAATCTGCGTAGTGTTAGTGAGATGTCTATGTAGTATGTCAAGTCAAACTTACGTTGGGGTCAAAAGTTGATTTTCGATGGTCCAAGGATCAACAAACAACCGCACAGCCCTAACGCGCTCGTAGCTGTTGAACTTGTTCTTTCGTCCCACCTTTTCCAGCTCCTTAAGTACTGCCTGCTCGACCTTCTTGTTCTTGCAGACCTCCTTCAACTTAGCTATATCACCTTCTGGGATCTTCTCACCGAGCACCTTGGATGCGAATTGTGGGAAGATGTCGGGCGCGACACCAAAGATGGCCACGAGGAAGGATTGATGCGAGTCGCCATGAACGTAGCCAGAAGCGAGGTAGCTGCAGTTTGCAAGGTACACATTCTCGATCCGCTCGGGGGAGATGTACTCTCCCTGTGCGAGCTTGAGGACGTTCTTCCTGCGATCGATGATCTTGAAGCGACCAAGTTCGTCGACGGAGCAGATGTCGCCAGTGTGGAACCAACCATCGGCGTCAATCGCCTTGGCAGTCTCCTCCTCGTTGCGGAAGTACTCCTTGAACTGCGATGCAGAGCGGATCAGCAGCTCACCACGAGGGTGCGGCTTATCGGTGGACATGTACTCCATGTCAGGGACGTCGAGCAGAGCGCACTCCGTGTTCGGTCCAACACCACCGCAGTTGCCAGCGGAGAAGTCGCCCTCGTGCTGGACGAGTGCAACGGCGTAAGTCTCGGTAAGACCGTATCCTTGTGTGAAGTTGGTTCCGAAGACGATGCGGAGGAATTGATGCAGACTGGGATCAATGGGCGCAGAGCCACTAACAAGCACCTTTGCGCGATCCAGTCCAAGACCAGCAGAAACCTTCTTAGCCCAGATGCGGTCGTAGAGCATGTGCTTGTTGGTAGGGTTTTGCTTGTCGTTGAGAGCCGCCAGCTTGGTCGATACCACGTGTCGGGATAGTGCTCCCTTGACGCCAGTGGCTTGGACGGTTGCTTCCTTGATCTTAGCTCCAAAGCGGTTGTACAGCCTGGGTACACCAGAGAAGATGGTCGGTCGAAGCATCTGCAAGTCATCTACTAGCTCTGCGATGTTTCCATGGAAGTAACCAATAGCAGCACCAGTTGCCAGCCCACTGTGTTCTCCCAGCCGCTGGTAAATATGTGCCAGGGGCAAGAAAGAGCAGATGACCTCGTTAGGACTGCTACCCATGATGACCATGGATGTGCATGTTCCGGCATGCGCGTTCCTGTGAGACAGAACGACGCCCTTGGGGTTTCCCGTAGTGCCAGATGTGTAGTTGATAGTGACAATGTCCTCAGGTGTAGGAGGGTTCATCGGGATCGGTTGCCTCTCGCCCAAAGCTTCCACATCCTTGATGTAGTGGATTGTCACACCTTGTTCGCTCGCAAGCGAGTTCAGGATGTCGCCCTTGGACTCTCCGGGAAGCTCGCCAGCGGAAAGCGGGTCGAGGACCACGATGATCTTTAGCGAAGGCAATCGAGGTTTCAGCTTCAACAGCGCAGTAACGTGGTTCACTCCAGCAACCACGCAAGACAGCTCAGAGTGGTTGATGATGTATTCGGTCGTGTCTGGACCTAGCGTGTCGTAGATGGAAACAGTGTAGAGTCCTTGTGACATGCACGCCAGATCCGTGATCTGCCATTCCGGCCTGTTCTGACACCACAGTCCAATACCGTACTTTGGCGCGGTAACGCCAGCTTGTTTGTGCAGATGTACCAGGCCGGCGCCAAAGTTCGTTCTCCGCTTGGCGACTGTCTCGTAGTCTTCCCAAACGTAGGGACCGAAGGTCTTGGTGGCGGTGTCGTAGGGGCGGTGGCCCAGGCACTTGTTCTTGGGCCATTTGGCGACCGAGTTCTCGAATGCCTCGTGGGGTGTCCTAATCTCAGGGACCAGGTGATCCAGCAGAGGCTTGTCCGTAAACCTCCAATGCCTGTAGATGGCGCTCCTTCCCTCTGCCTCTGAGCCTGGCAACGCCACGCTGTATGGCTGTCCTTTCGCCGGAGGGCCGTGGAGCTCCTCCGCGCGGTCCAACTGAGGGTCTATAGATCCGAACATCTCTGCGTATGCGTGTGTTCGGCTAGGTCGGTTTCGAGTGGTCGCTCTTTCCGCTTCGGTCGAGGACGGCTTCGTGTAACGTGTAAAGGTGATACCAGCGAGGTGATGACAGACAGTCTACTCTATATCAAACGTCAGCAGAGCTCTTGGTAAACACGTCGCGCATGGGCGAAGTCGGCGTGTCCGGGACAGCCCCAAGCTTCTAGCTTCCAGCTGCGACATGGCAGATGACCTCACATACCTATAGCTTTACGCCAGGACTCCCGCTTTCTCCTCAGCTACAGCTAACAGTAAAGAGAAGATGCAACACGTCTCGAGAAAGGGCAACGCGCTCAAACTCAGCAGTGGAAGATGGGAATCAGGCGCAACGAACCCTAAAGGCAAGGGTCGTAATCATACGGGACTAAGCCAGAAACTCCACAATTTCCCATGGCGGCGCAAAACGTGCCTCGGCAAAGTCGTCATGTCGCGCGCCCGTCCAATTGCGACCAAGATGAAAACTGGAGCCAAGTTCCTGCACCGAAAGCTACCGGTCAGGTGCGCTGGATGCAGCTGAAACCCCGATGTCTGGGCATCCCGCTCTTCTCCAGACTCCGGAGCAGGCACCTTTTGGCATGTGTTTGCGGGGAACGAGATGGGGCGCCGCGCTGCCTTGGGTGTACCGCTGAGCGCGAGGGCTGGCGCGCATGGCATGACGAGAGCGTTTGCATGCGCAGATGCGTCATGTGCTAGATATGTGGCTTTCACATGTTGTCGAGATCAGATCCTGGGGTAACCATCCTTGCTTCGCGACCACGTAGACGGCTCCATGCTGATTGGTCAGCGGATCTCGGTACTAGAGCCCACCGGTAGGGAAGATGCCTCGGCTTGAGATGCTGCGTGTGCGCGGCCAGGGGTTAGAAGACGCATGTAACGACTTCGTACGAGGACACCACGGAGAGAGTTCACGGTGCGCGATATATAACAGTAGTGTAGGTATCAAGCGTGCAGCCTATCAGCCACGGCATGCCGGGGCTACCATTAGGTATTCATCTCATTACAATCTCGGAATCGCTATTCGCGTTTCTAGAGCAACAACCTCAGTACCGCTTTCCTATGTAGCTCCCGACAGGGACGCAGAGGGCTCACCGCCGCCTGTTTTTGTTGCATTCTCAGGCTGACCCTTCTCAGCTGGCGCCGTTGCCGACTTTTTGAAAGACTGCTCAAAGTCGGCAATGATGTCGTCGATGTGTTCTGTGCCAACCGAGATGCGAATGAGATCCTGTAACCTGTCAGCATGTAATCACTTTGACCCATTAAGCAATATTCGCTTACCTCAGTAACACCTGAGTTGATCTTCTCCTCGTCACTCAGCTGCTCGTGCGTCGTTGTCCAAGGATGGATAGCCAGCGTCTTGGAATCGCCAACGTTCGCTACGTTGGAAATGAGCTTGAAGTTGTCTACGACCTGGCTGCCTGCTGCACCACCTCCTGTCACGCCAAATGATAGCACGCCTCCGAACCCACGCGGCAGGTACTTTTTCGCTAGCTCGTGTGATTGATGGCTCTCGAGACCTGGATACGATACCCAGCTCACGTTCTTGTTGCTCTCGAGCCACTTCGCCAGCTTGAGTGCATTGGATGCGTGTCGCTCGCATCGTAGAGAAAGAGTTTCGACACCAAGTATGAGCTGTTGGGCGGCGAAGGGATTCAGCGCTGCGCCTAGGTCTCGCAGGATCTCAACGCGCGCTCGCATGATGAATGTAATGGCTCCAAAAGTCTCCCAGAACTTCAGCCCGTGGTAGCCGTCTGATGGCTCGACCATCTGCGGGAAGCGCTTGCCGTGCTTGCCCCAGTCGAACTTTCCGCTGTCGACGACGATACCACCAATCGTGGTTCCGTGGCCTGTCGTCTCGGTCAATATATGCCTTCTTTCCAAGGACGAAGTGAGCGTTACCTCCAATCCATTTTGTCGCAGAGTGCACGACAATATCAGCGCCAAAGTCAATAGGCCTGCAGAAGTATCCTCCAGCACCGAACGTGTTGTCAACAATAACTGGAATACCAGCCTCATGCGCAATCGCTACGATCTTCTCAAAGTCGGGAACGTTGTACCTCGGGTTGCCGATACTCTCAAGCTTTGGGACATTAGCCAGCTTGTAAATAATTATTCGCAAAAACTTACATAGATCGCCTTGGTCTTCTCGTCAATCGCAGCCTTGAAGTCGTCCGGTTTGTCACCGTTAACGAACTTGGTCTGCACTCCCAGGCGCGGGAAGAAGACCTTGAGCTGGTTGTATGTGCCTCC